AATATTCAACGATTAAACCCCTTCATACAAGAGCACACGGAACAGGCCCGAAATTTATCTTTGCTGCGCGTTGGAGGCCGGTTAAAACACTCAGACTTTCCAGAAGACGTAAAATTTCCGTTGTTATTGCCAAAATCCTCTAAATTCGTACGTAAATATGTTGAGCACTTGCACCAGTCCAACTGCCATGCAGGTCCAAAGATTTTAGTTTGCTTAATGCGACAAAAGGTATGGGTCATAAATGCCAGAGATATTGCCCGAAAAATAGTTCGCCAGTGTATTCGTTGTTTTAAATTCCGCCCAAAACTAATGAGCCAAATAATGGGTGATTTGCCACCAGACAGATTGAGATCAGTTAGACCCTTTCTTATTTCCGGAGTTGATTTTTGTGGGCCTCTATACACCACCCATAAAATAAGAGGCCGACCGCCTTACAAATCTTACGTTGCCATTTTTATTTGTTTCAATTCAAAGGCTGTACATGTAGAGCCTGTCTCTGATTTATCAACTAATGCTTTTTTATCTGTTCTCAAAAGGTTCGTCGGACGTCGCGGAGTTCCTCAAAAACTATACTGCGACAATGCAACGAACTTCGTGGGCGCCAACGCACGGCTTCAAGATCTCGCCAAGCAACTGCAGGACGACGACAAGCGGAGCGAAATTGGCGCGTTCGCAGCCGAGCGAGGCATGGAATTCGCCTTCATACCCCCACGCGCACCTCACTTCGGCGGGCTATGGGAGGCAGCCGTCAAGAGCGCCAAACATCTTCTTATGCGCGTCGTCGGCGACAATACCCTTACCTTCGAGGAGTTGGCCACCGTCTTGGTCGACGTGGAGGCAATAATGAATTCCCGCCCACTCGTAGGAGCAACAGACGACCCCAACGACGCTGAAGAAATAACCCCAGCCCATCTCTTAATAGGGGATTCTCTCATGGCCGTGCCCGAGCCCCACGTTTCAACCGAGAAGCTATGCTATTTAGATCGTTGGCAGCGGCTCTCGTCCCTGAAGGCTCGGTTTTGGTCCGCATTCCAGCGGGACCATATTCTTAATCTCCAGGCGAGAACCAAATGGGACAGGCCGCAACCCAACCTCGAAGTTGGCACTCTCGTGCTGGTGCACGAAAACAATTTGCCGCCCCAAAAATGGCTATTGGGAAGGGTAGTAAAAACC